CCCCCACCCAATCATTTAGGTCTTTGTGCGCGAGAGTGGGAGAGTCACTTAAAACATGAGGGCATATTCTTTCACCCCCCCAAAAACCGCGGCCACCGCTAGGTTGGGGGGGGGGGGGGGGGGGGGGAGGATATGGTGTCGTAGCCTTTTATTCAACCGTACCTGAACGTGATAGTGCAGTCCCTTGTTTTCTTAAAGTAACAGCATGCAGAGCGAACGAAATACTCGAGCGGGAGAAAAAGCACCACTCACAAGGGTATAAGATGTACGTTGTTGTTAAATTTCATTTTCCTATGTTTGAAACTCATTATCATACACAAGAGAGGATGTCATACATTATCATACCCAAAAAACAAAAGAAAAAAATTCAACCTGAGACAAAATTGAACCAATTATACACTGAGGCTCGCGTATTTCGTTTTCTCAAATTTATCTCCAGAGAAAGTCGTGGACAACTCGTAGTCTGCCGATCTTGTAAAACAATTATCAAGTCCATATAAAGGACCACTTTCACTGAAGTTTCAGCAATTCAATACAATGCCCTACCCCGGTTAGTTAACCATTTGAAATATGTACACTGCGTAGGATTCAGAGTCTGTGCTCACATTGTGGTTCGCTCCTCTGTAAAATGTTCTGAAATGGGTATGGCATTTATGGAGCTGAATCCAGTGATAGAATTGCAATCCCCTTTCATAAAATTATTCAAGCTAAATTCGCCCATAGACTAGTAAAGAACGCCACTTAAAACTTAATTCTTTCCTCATTCCCTTTGATTAGATTTCCAATGTCCTTTAGCATTCTGCTTTACTCCGACAGGTTCTCAACACGGTCTTGTACCAATAGTGGCAGAAGACTACGGCAATCGTGAAGAAGGTCTTAGCAGTTATGCCGTAGCTCTTATAAAGAGTAACCTTTCCACAGAAATTTCTCTGGCGACATTGGAGAAGAGCAGAACATGTCATCCTTCTGCGGGGGACTCGGTCGGGTGGACAGCTCCTGTGGGGTATTTGATTGGTCATGGAGTGATGACGTCAAAAGATTGCAATCCATATGTATCTTCTGGGGAATTTTTTCAGAAAAGCTGTGTTCCAGGTATGTTGTTAGTATCTTTTACTCTAGTCCTACAGTGGTAAGTAGTATAATGCACACGTCTTTCTTACCTGTACCGTCTTTTCCTTTTTCTCAACTTACTTCTGGCAACAAAAACTACCCATTTCGATCGAAAAAAATTAACACGACTACATAAAACACTGCAATATGTCGAAAGTACCCAGTGTCTCTTCGTTCCATTCTAGATACTCTTAGTGGGTGAACGTTACCGAAATTTGCGTTTTCCTAACTTTTTCAACATTTTTTATAAATTCATGTCATTATTTGTGGGGTTAACAGAAAAAAAAAACACTTGAATCCCGATAACGGGTTGCTCAAACAGTAAATGGTAGAAGCTCCATTGAGGGGACACCCTCGGGGCTAAGGTAAGTATCCCCTGAATAGGCGTGTCCCCTGAATAGAGGTTGGGCTGGGGTTTTTTAAATAATTAACCAACAAATAAAATATTCTGCCTCGGAATCTACTGCATTCATAATTCAGTAAAGAAGCTGGATAATGTTTTAAAAAATCGTGATATTATCTCCGATATGTTACGTGTTAAATTCCCGCTAGTTCAGTACATCGATTTAAGTGAGATAGATCATGTGTTGAAAGCTGTCGCCATTGTGACTCATGAACGCAATTTTTGTTTGAGTGCTACGGTGTGCCCTGAATGGAGGTTAAACCTGGGATTCGGGACCCAGGAAGAGTGTCCCTTTCCCTTGAATAGAGGTGTCCAGGGCCGTAGCCAGGAAGAAACTACAACCGAGGCCAACACACGGTCCGTTGTACGAAATCAGCCGTATGAAATCTTCTAATATTATCAGTCTGATAAAAAAAATAAAAATCGACAGTATTTGGTAAAATTTTACCGAGGCGAGTGCCTCGGTTCGCCTCATACTGGCTACGGCGGTGGTGTCCCTTTAATAAAGGTAACAAATACAAAGATTATGTGAACATTTTTTCTCGGCCAAATTTTGTATCCTATGAATGGAGGTGTCCTTAAAAAGAGGTATCCCAGAGGAGAGGTTCCACTGTATTACAATTTTGTTTTCTCGCTATCCACAAATAGCAAAAGCTAGTCTAGGTGGGAAGGTGATTTCATACTCAACATGTTAACAGTCTATCAAACAAACAATTACTTAAGTTTGTCGATAAACCCAACTTATATGTATTGCCTTCAGTAAATTCAATTTCGGGAATAGGAAGAGAGATGGTGTGAGAGCAGCTTCCACCAATGCGGCCTAGGATCGAGTCCCGGCGTTGACGCCACATGCAATGTTGTTTGAACAGCAGGTTGAATTTTTCTCTGTTAGTAGATGTTTTTCTTCGGATATCTCGGTTTTCCCCTCTCCTCAAAACCTCCCTTTTTGGCGCGAAGCGAAGTTCCACGCACAGCCGGCACGGAAGCAACGAAGCCAGAATAGGGACAAAACGTACGAAGCCTACTATAGGAAATACTTTAAAAGTCCTTATGATGAGATCCACAAAGAATCTAAGAACGACGAGGTTCGCCAAGTTTACGTTATATGGGCAGTTGATTACGACAAGGAAATTAGTGCAGCCGGTGCATTCTTCCACAAGCCATTCTCTGAGTGCTTGGATACTGCCTTGAATCTAGTTTTTCTCAACTTGAAGAAAACTCAGCTTAAAATCCTGGATGCTGGAGCTGGAACCGAGCATATAGGAATCGAGCTTCTTAAACTCGGTTACACTGACACCCACGTTCTCGATATCTCGCAAGTGAAGCTGAATGTAGCTCAAACTGAGAAAGGCGTTCCGTACAGGAGGTTTATCTGCTTCTCTGACAGAAAAAAACAGTTTCAATGCGTACATAGTCTTAAATAGCAAAACTGGACCATTATTTTTAATTCGATTGACGCTGCGAAAGAAGACACATTTTAGCTTTTTTAAAAGACAACGAATTCGGTAATATATAAGCCCTTTTAAGAGCAAGATTGTTTTGAGGACTTATGTATATAAAAGCGAATTTCTTGGGCTTGCAAGAAACACGAAAATAAACCAGCCACACGCACAACCTACAATCCCTCTGCGAAAGGGCTGGCGCTCGAAAGGTCATCTTTTGAACCTGTTTATAGGCCTTTATAGGCCACGAGGGTGGATTGAGTATATTATTAAACTGAGTTGATAAAGCAAATCTGATACATAGCATTCGGAGTAAGGGGCTAGCGACGTTCCAAAAAGCTAAGTCGAATCTTTTTCAAATCCTTAGGGGCTCTATCCAGGAAGTACAATCCAGAAGGTAGCAATCCCAGCAAACTATGCGGGATTTGCTCCAATCAGAAAACTTGCCCACGAAACGCCTCGGAAAGGTATTATGGGTATCATGGAGCATACCGCTGCCTGACAGAAGGCGCAGGAGATGTTGCGTTTGTCAGCCATCTGAGTGTATTTGACTTCACAGGGCTGGAAAATGACCTTAATCCAGGAGAAGACTTTGGTCTACTCTGCCCCGATGGTAGTCGTAAAGGTAAAGTAAAAGTGAATTATGTGCGTGGTAACATGGCCGCGTAGTTCCCATTTTTGTGTGGCCAGCTGTCTGTTTTGACCTTACCCTTGTATTTGTGAAAATCGGCAAATAATAGAAAAAGCTTTAGAAAGAATAGTTTGACTTGCGTCCTTTTTAAAATTAGCTGAGAATCATTGAGGATGTGAGTTGTCATCTGGTTCACCTAAAGCCTTAACACATAGAATAAGAGTCAACGTAAGAGTTTGGCTCCCGTCTAAGCCTCTATTTTCTTTTCGTAATTAATTTTTAATCTTTACGTTTCATTTATGGCAGACGTCGGCAACTTCCAGACATGCAACCTTGCAAGAATCCCTTCCAGGGTTATCATGGGAAGACCCGATGGGGACGAGATGAAGATTATTAAGCAAAAGCTTCTTCACCTTCATGAATTCCTCCTGTTAAAACCAGATTTATTCCAGTTATTTAACTCATCTGCGTATGGAAGCAAAGACTTACTCCTCAAGGACTCCACGGTCAAACTTATAGACGTAAAAGAAAAGAATTCAACCGAGGCATGGCTCGGCGAAAAGTACTTCAAAACGCTTAAAACCCTGCGCTCTTGCCAAACAGTGGCTGCCGCTGCAAGATCTTTTGGGGAAACGTTGAAAACTTGGAAGGTTGGGCAGTTACTTTGCTTTTATTTAGTCTTATTTTTTTTCCTGTCTTCGATGTGCTTAATACAATGAAACTGTGGCAGTCCTCATCGATTCCACGAACAAGACCTAAAGTATTCGACCAATGGTCATTCGCTAATGAAAATAGGAGGTACAGGAATAGGTTAAAGGAACAACCTATCTAGAGGTCTAGAAGAACGGCAGGTACGGAGAGGGGACTAGCTGTTTTTTTTGTTAAGGTGAAAAAAAAAGTGTCCTACATTCTTACTATGAATGTTTTCACCAAAATGTACGTGTTCCCCCTTCCATCTTCGCAGCACTGAAGCTTTGCAGGAAGTATTAATTTGAAACTCTTTACGAAGTTCAACTTAAAACCCATCTGGTGGATTATTCTTTAGGAAAACAAAAACAAAACAAATAACATAAATGTGTCCACGGTAGAATGTATATAATCCTGTAGGCGGCTTTACTTTTTTGTTTCTCAATGTGATGACTTCAGTAAACTCGCGTTGTCAAATTACGTCAGTTCACCCAAAAACAGACCTCAATTAAGGCACTATTTTAGCTACTAGACGACTCAAGAAAACCGTGGCGTAACGGAGAAAATCAGAGGAGGAGAAAATCAGTCTCGGTAAAGGCTTTGCACGGTACATCGTCGACTGACTCAGGGGTAGTGTGTCGGGTCGGGAGAAACGGTTCGATGAAAATTTTCAAGCAAGGGTCGCGTGGTATATATTCCTCTCATCCCGACTGATATGCTCGATTATCAGCAGCTGTTGGGGAAACGAGCCCGCGCTCCTACCCCGAAAAGACGGGGCGGACCCGAGGAGCGGCGGAAATCGAGCCTATCCGACTGATTACCCAAGGGTTTCCCAGGATTTGCATCGTGTGAAATTCCCCGACGTAAAAGAGGGGAAACCCTCTGAAACGACAATCCGACGGAAACTGTATTATCATTACTCCTGGTTTTCATATCATTACTCGCGTCAACGGATCTCAGTTCTTGATGTTGGGGGCGACGATGACAGTTTGAGCCCTTTAGAAGACATTACCGCTGCTAACATAATACAAAATTCACTTAGCAGTGTTATATTTTTGTTTTTCTTGAGTCAAGCATGCAAACTTGTATTCATTACACACAAAGTCATTGTAACAGTGGACTATTTCACACTATATGCCTACACATATATGGCTACCTACCTTTTTTCAGGCTTAACGCTGTGAAAAGTTTGAGCAAAAACCGGAAAAAAAGGAAAATCATTAACCAGTTTAAGTTAACCCATGAAGATGAGTTCCTTCATTTCTCAGGTCGCTATCTGAGCCCGACACTAAGCTACAAATAAAAGAAAAATTTAAAACTATCGAAAACTATCACTCTGCATAGATTAAGGACTACCCATGAGAACTGGAGAGAAAGTATCTGTTGCAAATTTTATATGTCCTCTACATGACAAAAAACTCCTTATGTCATAGCAAGAGACTATAAANGGCTTTGCACGGTACATCGTCGACTGACTCAGGGGTAGTGTGTCGGGTCGGGAGAAACGGTTCGATGAAAATTTTCAAGCATGGGTCGCGTGGTATATATTCCTCTCATCCCGACTGATATGCTCGATTATCAGCAGCTGTTGGGGAAACGAGCCCGCGCTTCTACCCCGAAAAGACGGGGCGGACCCGAGGAGCGGCGGAAATCGAGCCTATCCGACTGATTACCCAAGGGTTTCCCAGGATTTGCATCGTGTGAAATTCCCCGACGTAAAAGAGGGGAAATCCTCTGAAACGACAATCCGACGGAAACTGTATTATCATTACTCCTGGTTTTCATATCATTACTCGCGTCAACGGATCTCAGTTCTTGATTTTGGGGGCTACGATGACAGTTTGAGCCCTTTAGAAGACATTACCGCTGCTAACAGAATACAAAATTCACTTAGCATGCAGTGTTATATTTTTGTTTTTCTTGAGTCAAGCATGCAAACTTGTATTCATTACACACAAAGTCATTGTAACAGTGGACTATTTCACGCTATATGCCTACACATATATGGCTACCTACCTTTTTTCAGGCTTAACGCTGTGAAAAGTTTGAGCAAAAACCGGAAAAAAAGGAAAATCATTAACCAGTTTAAGTTAACCCATGAAGATGAGTTCCTTCATTTCTCAGGTCGCTATCTGAGCCCGACACTAAGCTACAAATAAAAGAAAAATTTAAAACTATCGAAAACTACACTCTGCATAGATTAAGGACTACCCATGAGAACTGGAGAGAAAGTATCTGTTGCAAATTTTATATGTCCTCTACATGACAAAAAACTCCTTATGTCATAGCTACCAGAAATGCATGCGTGCGAAAGCCAACCTTGACGGCATCACTGAGTGACGTCGAGCTCTGCATTCCCGGACCTTACAGGACCCCATTACCAGCAGTGCTGTCAGCAGTATGAGCGTTATATAAGGCACGAGGTTGGCAGATATGCTGGTACTTGGAGGCTGGGTAGATATGCTGGTGGTTGGAGGCTGAGTGGTAGTTAGAAAGTCACATTCAGTCAGTGCCTCGATGTCTTTGACGTAATCGTTTCCGAGATAGCCTTGGTATGTTTGTTTTTCTGTCGCAATAGCAACCAGAGTAGTAGTAGAATCTTTGAAGAGCAAATCTTCGCCGTTGTACTTGGTGGAGTTGAAGAGTTGGAACTGGCTTGGGTTAGTCTGATTGACACCATACATTTCACTCATGTCAGTCAGAATCGTAATGATTGCGGCGATTTTGGTGTTGCCTTTTCTTGTCACCACCGCATGGGCCGGATTGACTCCAGTGTAACAAGTCGCGTGTTGGCCAATCTCTAATAAATAAATAGATGTCATTTAAATAGGCGATCAGTTATCCTTATGCCTCCCGGGAGTTCCCAGCTAATAACGGTGCGAGATTTTACCACGGGGACATTTTTCTTTTGTCTAAATGACCCGAAGATCCGTAGGAGGTGGGGGCACTCCCTTATTTGCCCTAAACTGGCATGTGCTGCTTAACAGGGTATGGTTTTCAGGAGTCTTAAAACAGGGCGTACAATTTTGCTATTTTAGCGTCTTTAACGGGGTGTGTTTTTCGACCGGGGGAGCCCTCAAACGAGTTTGAAGGTTAGCGATGAGCTGTCTACATTTGTGATACCAATTATTTTTCCCTAAAGCTCTAATTCCATGTGTTTTAGAGTTAGTTTGAAAAATTACTTAGTTTTGTATGCAAAACAAAACGAATCAGGGCCATAAAACAAGATCTGTTGTCTTAAACTGGCCAGGAAAGCAAAATAAACATTTTTGTCTTAAATAGTCAGGGTTTGAAGGCCTCGGTAAGCGGCACACCTCTACCCAAACTCCCCAGGAGTCCCTCCCCCAAAAGCCGGCCTACGATGATTCCTAATGTAAGTCATGCCTCCTTGTATTGCAGGCGGATGCTAGACCATCACTTTTACTATTAGGGTGCGATTTTCTGAATTGCTGAGCCGGAGTCTCAGCGCCTAACATTTCCTTTTGATCGCAAACATTCTTGTTCTTAGAATGACTTTGCTTTTTGTAACAAACGAGCGGCGGTAGGCTCCGCTTCTCTGTGATACATGCTCAGCGAAGCGTGTTTGAACATGTGCATATCAGGTGCCAGGTCTCACCTTTTCTGCTCCCGTCCCTGCAGAGGTACTCATAATCCGTCTGATTCCCATAATTTCCTTTTTTGATTGCTTTCTCTACGGTTCCGTGTTTAAAAAACGCTACATCTCCTTTACCATCCACCATGCACTTAAAGGCACCCTCGTGGCCAGCATATTCATTTTTGTCCTCATCAGCAGAGCATTTGTCAGCCCCAGTGCCTAAGCAGAGTACGCAGAGGTTGCTCGGAATATCTCCTGACGCGTTAAATCCCGCGGCATCAGCTCCTGCAACATAGAGACCATTCTATTAATTCATAAGTAAATCCTGTGTATTCATAGTCTGGGTATTAGGTTATTTATGATACATAATCAGGTATGCTGAATCGCTCTGGTCTGGGACAAGCCAAAACCAAGCGAAGGAGAGGTAACAAGATCGACGAAGTGTCGACTCCATCTGGGCTTCCTCGCACGGAATCGGCGGGTCAACATTAACTCTGTACTGCTACCTAGAATAGAATGCATAAAGGTGGACTACGTCTTTTGCATCGATATCTGAGCATCATTACTTCATCCCCAGGGCTTATACTTAAAAGGTGTGAGTTGTTCATTACCTTGCTTCGCAGACGTAATGTAACTGCGGTTTGATGGTTCCGTCTATGGCGCAGGTTCGTTTGTCGTATGTGAACGGAGGCTTTAAACATAAGCTTTCTTTGAGTTCTTATTAGGGCCTATGCGGGGAGGTTCTGCCCGAAAGGGGTTTCTTTTTTAGGCTTCAGGAGTATCAAAGGGGTAGGGATTTCATTGCAGATGACAAGAGGAGCACGCAATCCTAATCTCCAGGTTTTTATTACGCATGCGTCGCATGTATGAAGCCAGCATTCTTTTGGACCTCCGCTAAGAATGAATGGAATGCACAGAACGCACTTTGATCAAGCGTGTTTGGACCTTCTATCACTCGTAATCTGATCACGCGTGTTTTGACCATCTGTTACGTTAACCTTACGCAAAGCACAGCGATGGAGAAAAAGCGTTTTGACCTTAGATCGTTGTCGCCCGCACTCCGTAACCTTTGCTTATTACTAGTTAGTTAAAGTATATAACAAGGTAGGGAGATCTAACAGACGCACTTTATGGATGTAACAAAGACAAGAAAACCTTCTGGTAAGAGAAATACCGTGCTTGAAACTAGGTATGTGAAAGGCGTACCATTTGTAAATAGAAGTTATATACCGAAGGGGTACCTTTTCTGTAAAAATGGTATATGATAGGGAAAGGGGTTGGAAGCTGGGGCGTTGCTTACCCGTATAAAACTTCCTTGAGTCCTCCCTTCCCCCCCCCCCCCCGGGGGGGGGGGCTGTAACACTTACCTGGTACCCACCTTTGATTGAAGAACTTTCCCCCGGAGATTAAATCATGGTTCATGTTTCCACAGGCTACTTCTGGAATAATTTTTGAGCTCAGAAGAAATCCAATAGGTATATTCCAGTCTGCATTTCTTGGGCGGGTCCCAGTATGGCAGGACTTCTTTCCTTTGAGTGTGGTTATATTGACATCTCGGTTAGCCCTTTTCACCGCAGCAACTGCATAATACCGCACTTTTGACAATCCATATTGTTCCGAAACAATAGGCACCAGATTACCCGTCTTCCCTGAATAATAAACAAATATTAGAATGCCATCCATGATGCATTTTTTCGTTATTAGTTTGCGTATCTATAAAAAAGAAAAAAATAAATTCACTTAGAAAGCTGAAAGAGAGAGGGATTTTAAAGGTGTGGCCGATCGTGAGAATAAACTGAGTCGGTGTGTACCCATTATATTCCCTTTCCTGGGGGTTCGTGAGCGGGGGCGGTTAGTCAGGGTAGCTCAGTTCTGAGCGTTTTTACATGGGATGTAAGGTCATTAAAATTATTCACCATAGAATGCTATCCAGTACCTGCTTTGTACATGTCAGCGCCCTTTAGTGTCATAAGATCAGCTTCGTCACTTTTTATCTTGGCCACGCAATCATCAACTGAATTTTCTTCAACGCAGCCTACATCCACATCCAAACTTTTATTTCGGGCAGTTTCGTTCACGTACATCATAAAATCGGTACACTTGTTCTTCTCTGCAGCGCTAAGTACGCACCATCGGAAGCTGATTGGAGCTAAAAAAAAAAACTGAAGTGAAAATTTTACTTCAGACTTACTCCCCACACTTGTCCCCAAGAATGCCCCTTTTGACTCCGATGAGGAATGGCGCAGCCGCATTGGTCCCTATAACCTGCATTACCTATTGTTTTCAGGGATAGGAGCATTGTTATGTCACCATCCCTATTGTTTTCCCAGCCAATCACAAACCTTGTTTGGAACAGGTCCAGGTCGGCCCTTGTCTAGTCTTCAGGGCGGAAAAACGTTCTCCGCAAGCTTCTGCGCATCCTTTATCGCAGGCTCAAGGCGGGCTTTTCTGTGTGTTGACAGTGTTCGACAGTTTGTTTGTTTGTCACTGAGAGAGTTCTGACTAAGACTGAATGAAATGCACAAGGTGTGAACGTTTGCTCCTCGAAAAGCCTTTTTACTTTTGTGTGGTTTTTGTTTTTCGTCACTTGAAAATTACTTTGGACTCGGAACAACCAATGTTAAAGGAAAAACGGATCATTCCGTCAGTCTGAGGTGGAATAAAGAGTTTTGAACATTTCCATTGTTCATTCGATTTATTTGTGAGTTGATTTCGCCTTCTTTCGCTGGGCTGAATTAAAACCCACTTTTTTTTTAAATGAATGATTTTCCAGTAATCGGAGACCCATGTTTTGCGCACAGGATTCTGGGATCGCCTGGGGGCAAACATTACGAGTCGCTACAAAGAAATGTATGGCGTGGAGTTGTTTCTCCGTTAAAAGCGGTGTCTTTGGACAGAGAATGCCGCATTTTGCTGTGCTTTTAAGAGAAACGGAGGAGACATTTAGGGGGGCGTTGAAATTTCAAGTTTCTGTGCGATTAATGCGATAAATTCTATCGATAAACACTCCTTGCGTGAGGTTGGGGGTGAAATTTATATTTACTGAATTTACAGTGATCTACATGAAGAAAAGG